AGAAGGAAGTGGGTTGGAGAAGGACGATGACTATGGGGTCCTTGGTGCTGTCTGAGTTTTCTTGCAGACGTTTCAGGACCCAACTAGGCAACCTCATCAGTGCTAGAAGGAAGTGGGTTGGAGAAGGACGATGACTATGGGGTCCTTGGTGCTGTCTGAGTTTTCTTGCAGACGTTTCAGGACCCAACTAGGCAACCTCATCAGTGCTAGAAGGAAGTGGGTTGGAGAAGGACGATGACTATGGGGTCCTTGGTGCTGTATGAGTTTTCTTGCAGACGTTTCAGGACCCAACTAGGCAACCTCATCAGTGCTAGAAGGAAGTGGGTTGGAGAAGGACGATGACTATGGGGTCCTTGGTGCTGTATGAGTTTTCTTGCAGACGTTTCAGGACCCAACTAGGCAACATCATCAGTGTAAGGGTGGGTATGGTGCTCCCTTGTTTGTATATGACAATTTTCATTAGAGTCTCTTCATCTTCCAATAGACACCCCTCCCAAAAACCTAAGCCCTATTTAGATGGTATCTCTCCAGCATAACAGCTAAATTACCCCTTTTAAACCACGAGCCCAAAAATACTATTTTGAATGAAGTACCTTTCCTTCTCAGCTACAATAGCCTCCAATGTGGATGCAAAATGTATAATAATATGGTATATATAATATGGTGTGCATAAGGGTCTCTGTCCTACTGCCCCCCTTTATTTGTATCCCTTTCCTGTGTTCTTATTCATGTTTATTCTTATTCCTGTTCTCTTGTACGTGAGCAACAAACTAAAGAAGTAAAAAATAAATATTTATAACTTCTGGTAACCAGAAAGCCAGCAGCTTCAGGAATCTTGAGAGAGAATAAAAGTCCCTCCATTTTTAATAAATTCCCCTCCAAAAACATGAGTGGAGAGTAAGGGAGATGGGCGACATAGGAATGTAATAATAAAATCAATTGAATAAATACAATTTCTAACTGGAAGGAAACTTTTCCTACCTTGGGCTCATATATATTGAGAGGTGGGAACCAAAGTGCGCAGCCTCCGATTTCCCCGACGGACTCATTTACGAACGTACCAACCGGAAGTCGCCGCCACAGTATAGCGGACGGCCGCCATTGCGGCGGGAGGAGGGGCTGCGTTCGCTTCCCGAGGCAGTCGACGGCCGCGGATGGTGCGGAGAAGCCGCCTGAACGAGGGCTCTGCTCCTCACTCCGGGACGGGCCTCCTCCGCCCCACCGGCGAGCCGCTTACCTGACTCGGGTAAGTCTTAAATAGACAACGGGGCGAATTCGGATCTATAAAAAAGCAGAGCAGGTTTGGTCCTTGGCGCGCATGCGCCCCAGGCGGCCCCTCTGGAGATTAGGCGGAGGCGGGCTTATAAAGGCAGGGATCCACTCGGATTGGCCGCAGGCGGTTTAAATGACAGGTGGGAAAGGGAGGCTTTTCTTAAAGGGCCAGTGCTTAATTCTTATTAGGTGGAAAAGGAAGAATATTAATATACTATGAAGATTTTGAGTACAAATAGCTGGAAAAACATGGGGAACAGTTTCCCTTAAGAATAAAGGGACTATTCCTAAAGGCATAAAACCTAAAGGAATAAAAATTACATCAATTTTGTTGCTTTTGCATCAATTCAGTTTTCTTCTCCCTTGAAATCTTAAACAAGTTTAAAAGAAATCTTAAACAAGTTTAAAAGAACTGTCCAGAAGGACAGTTATGTGTTTTCCTCGTGTGACCTATAGCATAAACTTGCAAGAAAATCTATGGTGCCACCTAAATACTTTACACACACCAGATACAATTAAGGTCACATGCAGTTAATTACCCTGTGGAACTCACGGCCACAACATAACTGGAAAAAAGAAATTGAAATTAATCCAGGGATGAAGTGAAGTAACTAAGTGAAAAGATTAAAGATCTACAGGATGAGAATTCCATTTAAAAAAATAGAGGAAAGTTTTAGTTGGAGATGAATAGCAGGAGTGAGCCATTGTTATATTTTTTTAAATTATATTTTACATATTTTATTTTAATAGTTTTTTATTTTACACTAGCCAGGGTATTTATTTATAGGGGGGGGAAATGCCTGGACCAAACGTCATTTCTAATGTTGGATTTCCCCCGCCCTTACCATAGGGAGCCCCTTTGTGAAGTACTGTGAAGCCATTACCATGACAATGCCACTGCGCTGTACAGTAGAAGCCATTTGAAGGCACAACAGGCTGCATCTTAACAGAACACCCCCCACCCCGAGGGGTGTTAGGGGTTTCTTACCCCCACAGTATTTTTCTCCAGAGAGTAAAGTCACCTATGTGCTAAGCTTGGTTGAAATTGCTCGAGGCGTTCCAGAGTTATGCTGGAATATAAACACACACAGCCATTTAGATAGATAGATAGATAGATAGATAGATAGATAGATAGATAGATAGATGATAGTTAGTTAGTTAGTTAGTTAGTTACG